AATGTAAAGTTTCCACCTATGCTATGAACCTTGCATAAATAACTCTTACCAAACGGCATTTCTCTGTTCTTGGATATTTTGTTGTCTCCCATGCTCAGAACATTGCTTACAACACAGTTGCATATGAAAAGTTAAAAATCAATCTTCTACTATGAAGCACGGTATGTACAATAATCAGCAAACCTTTGGGAATGATTGAAGAAAAGACTTGCTTACATGTCATTGCGTTAGAAATGTTATATGGTTCCATTAGAGGCAATGGTTAATTGCTGAGTGCCAGTTAGAATCATTACATCTGCCATCTCTAAAAGAAGTCGGAATGCTGTCATTCACTTTGAAATGGCTCGCTGCGTTCATCAGTCTAGATGGCATAGAAAAGTTATAACCATACAAGCCATATGGAGAATGTAAAGAACAATTAAGAGCTTCCCGAGCAGTGGGACTTGATGGGAAAATGTTTCCAGATGCATGTAATCCATACACCATTTGATTAGCAGAGTTGGATACTTGTAGACACTGCCCAGTTAAATCTTCAGATTTACCATTTTTCAGATTTGTTATGCCAAGGGAAGACAGCCCAGGCACATCCACCATGAAGTGGTGTAAAACATGTGGGTTGGTGCCTCCCAGTTTTTCATGACTTGGAAATACAAGTGACTGTTGTCTCAAAAGGCTTGTAGGGCAAATCTTGTAGTAAAGGGGCAAGTTGAGATTATGTAGATATGTTTCAGGGCATGACATTCCAATGCTGCTCGCTGACAAGTGAAATGTAGGAGGTGAGCAAGATGGAGAAAGCAAGGAATTCAGAGGAGATGGCGTCCCACCACTGGAGGTTGCAGGAGAAGAACCAGAACTCCCATCTAAAAATTAAAGCAAAAGTCATTAAAATGATGCTATTGGATGTTTACAAATAAGAATTATGGGTGGAATCTTGACCACACAGAAGTCAATATAGCCTTTTGTAATTTTCATCTAAATACCTATTGACTCCAGAGGGAGAGTTTCTGCATGGACTATGGCAAGATTCATCCATAAGTTATGCCTCACACCTTTGTTGTTTAGACCCCAGTTCAGCAAGGTAGTCATGTTTGTAAGCATGTGGCTAAGCCCATTAATTTTTTTATGGTGGGAACAGGGAAAGATTGTATTTATTGCTAGTTGGGTCACTTACAATAAGACATTACAATTATATTGTCTTGACATATATATGTACATATTTTAACAGTTTTAGCAACATGGTGTATATCCTATTATATCACTAACATTTTTACTTTTTTTTCTTTTTTCCCTTTTTTTTAGTCTCAATAACTTGATTGGAACTACTTGGGCTTTGAAACACACACATGCAAAAATTCCTTGTTGAATCAGGCTTCTGTGTAAAACTGATTCCTATATTTTATTTATAAACAAACACTGTAACATTTTCCTCATGATTTCCAGCAGTTTTCCAGGCATATAAATAATTAATAATAATAATAAAATACTTCTTATTCAGCATTGATGGAAAATTTGCCTTGAACCCCTGATTACAGGAATTGACTCATTTTATTTCATTTTCACTGCAGTTTATAAAATATTCTTAATCGCTGTTTCTCAAACAACTTTAAATGTACTTTGCAATTTGACATCCTATTTTCTGAAATGGATCAATGAGTGCTTTCATACATTTATTAGAAAAACAGCATCAACTTATTTTACAGGTTTACATTCTTATTAGGTTACTGGCATGTAACATCATTGTTCACAAGTTTTCAGCTTCTCCTATGTAAGTTCTAGGGTAAAAACTAAAGGGAGATGATTGCTTTGACAGTGAAATGATGCAGAACAATGTGTATTTCTGTTGCTAAACTGATCCTATTTTAAGATGGTCTAATTTAAAAGCCCCATTCTTCTCTTGCAGATACATTAGCACCACTGCATTGCATCTTATATCACAAAAGTTTGGATCTACTTTTTTTCTAAATTATTTACATGGTATTGATGCTGTCGTGAAAGAAAACCCTCAAATATTCTCAGTTGCCTTTGGTCAAATTTGTAAAAATGTTTGTGACATGTTTAGAATATTTCTTCATTTACACTATAATTCAAAGTCATGTATGCAAGACATGATCTGGTCAGGCTTTATGTGTATTTGTCTGTGAGGGATTTTTTGAAATTCTATCCTTTTTTTCTGTCAGTATATGAGACTGATATAATGTGAAGGTTTAAGAAGTGATGTAATGTAGAAACTATTCTTGTTCTCAGATGAACAGCAGACTATGTATGTATTTGGAGGAACTATGGTACATATTGCACATTAAGAGCTTCATCTTTTTCACAATGATGTCAATTTCTGTTTCAATATTGATTTCAATGAGAGAGGGAACAGGCAATGAAAAGGACCTATTCTCCTCCTCTCCTCCCTAATTCTTATTTAATGCTAAAGTGTTTTACAGTCAACTTAAGCAATGTAAGAATATATTGTGATGGCAAGATCATTACTACTTGCACAAGTAGACCCAATGCAGCTAACTAGGGTAGTGTATAGAGTATTATTATAAATTTAAAATACTCCTTAAAAAGCTCCTTAAAATGATCTTTGGATTTTGTGGGGTGGGAAAGAAATAAAATAATACTACTAATCTGTTTTTGCATTTTATTAGGTACCATCAAAAGACCGTTGCTGAGAATTTTTCAGCATCTATGGCATTATTTTTTCCAAACTCTTTCTCTCTGTCACTATCAGTTGTGCACTGTTTCTTGGTAGGTCGAGTAACTTTTGGAATTTGAAAATTCTTGCTCATCCATAAGCTGTTCTTCAGTTCAGACAGATATATGCAGGTATGTTTAAACTTAATAGCCTTGTCGTGTTCTCAAAACCCCTTAAATTACTAACAAAAAAAATGCAGGCTTATTTAGGAGCAGCTAATGGACTCATTGTCAGTGTTTTAGAAATGCAAGCAGAAAATAGCAAGTCTCCACAACAAATCTCTAAAAAAAGTTTTCATGGGTTCAACTTAACTTTCTTTGCAGTACAAATATTTAGACCTGATCTTATTGCCATTGAATTCAAATCATGTGCATAGGTGTCGTAGTGCATGTGTATGCTCCTATTTCATATAAGTGAAGGTGATATCAATTTTATCAGACCAAGTGTTCAAAAGTCAGTTGGATGCAAAAAGCCATGTCTAAAAAAAATCACAGGTTTTTAAAATAAATCATTTGCCTTCTAGATTTTGAGCTCTTAGAATTTGTTTTTTCAAGCTTTTTTCCACAATCATGGTATCTAGAAACTTGTTTTTATTTAAATGAAATATGAGATTCTGGTATATTCACTTGAGTTCCAGAAACTGGCCATTAAGAAAAACAATAAAAACCATGAAATCTATGTGACAAATGATTTTCATCAAGCACCTTTTACCATCTTGCCTGCACTCTGTCCACTAATCCATCTCCTCTAGGACTATTTCTAACATTACATATGTATGAACAGTGTTAGTTATCTTTTGTTTAAGGCCACTTGTGTGTAAAAGCAGCCATATGAAATGCATGCTTATAACACTTTTATAACATCCCACACCATTATTAATTCTGTATGGTATTTATATGTTTAGTTTCTATGTCTATGTGGGTTTTTTGCGCTCTTGATATCATAAAATAGGAACTGTTCACCTTTTCAGATAATGTGGGATGTATATGCTATAATATAGAGATCTTCAAATTTTTCATAAGGTAAATGACTGTGTTAAATTGGTAAGCATGGTCTTTTCAGAAAAAATGTTTTCCAATATAAGAGTCACAATTTTTCATCTGGCTCTATGAGCAGTCATTCTTTTAGCAAAACTTCCATTGGACATTTTGCCTCTGAAAAATCTGTAGGACTGGGCTCCAAACTAATATCTCAACAGAGATAATTTTTATTTGAAAAACCTTCCAACATTTATTTGCAACATTGCAGCAGTTAAATATTCCTTATTATTCATAATTTATAGATATTATACAATCTTTTTTATTATTTAAGCATTTGATTTTGTTTATAGAAAAATGAAGAGTAGAAAACCAGAAGATATAAGTAGATATTATCATGATCGTATTTCAAGAAAGTTTTCTGGAAAGGAATGGACAGTCACAATAGATTTATGGATTTGTGACAAGATAGCAAAATAACAAAAGTATTCTAAATATCCACCCAAACAGCAGAATGCTATTTTTTCATACAAGCTATAAGTGTGAATCCTGTTTTAGAACTCTCAACTTCAGTTCAGTGGTTTGTGTACATTAAAGCACTACCAAAATGTTCCAGGGGCAAGCTTCATACTCTTAACACTGATTTCTATAGGAGTCATTCTTGCATAAGGTAGGGGAATTAGAACCATAGAATGTCAAAGTTAATATCTACTCATTTTCTCTTTGTAATATTTATTGTATTGTACTTATTCATATTTTAGATTTAATATGTGCACTCATTAAAATCTTTAAGTATATACACAATGCTAAAATTACTGCAGCACTAAAGAATTAACTATTTGACACATTATCATGAAAAGAATACAAACTTCACACACAAAAAGGTGGGACTCAACCTGTATTAGATCAGTGGAAAGAAGGATTTTTATAGGAAAAGCTCCTTCACTGAAACTCCCTACTTCCAGATGTTCAAATAGGATGGAATTAATAAAACATCTCAAAATGGCCCTTAGTTACCAGATAAAATACAAGGAGATACATGGTCTTCATGGCTCCAAAACTACAATAAGATCCAAGAGGATGGACTTTTGCATTTATATGGAACCCTACTAAAATGGCATAAGAATCCCCCTGGCCAGAGCTCTTTGCAGAGTCAGGGCCTGAGGTAGCTGTCCCAAACAAGTTGTTATTATTTATTTAGTATATTTATTTTTGTCCTTTTTTTTTAGATATTTGCTTATTTTCAATGTCATTTGATTTGAAAATCAATGAAGAGTTAATGTTAAAATATTCTTGCTCTCAGAAACAATCAGTTAGGTAGTTGTTATTAACCATAAACATCAGGAAAAAACAAAGGTAGTAAATTCTAATTGTAATTCTAATCCTTTCAACACTGTGCCATCACCTAGAATGGTATCTGCTAATGGCATTTCATGCATGCAGAATGGTTAGATTATTTCTGGTTAATGACTAATGTTTTGTTTACACCTTAGGGTGTGTCTACACAGCAGGGTTTAACTCGAAATAAGCTACTGTGCTACATCAATTGCGTAGCTTATTTTGAAATAACTTATTCTGAAAATGGGAGCATCTATACAGCACTTATTTCGAAACAGACCATTCTTCCTCTAACTTCCCTTACGCCTCATACAATGAAAGTTACAGGAGTTGGAAAAAGAAGTCCTCCAGCTTGGCAATATTTCAACATTATTTCAAAATAACTGCCTGCTGTGTAGACATGGACTAAGTTATTTCGAAATAATATTAGTTATTTCAAAATAATGTTGCTGTGTAGACGTCTCCTTAGAGACCACTTGAAGATTCAAAACTCACCATGGGTTTCTGAAGCATAAGTCTTAAAATCCAGAGTAAGTGGTGGCCTCCATGGATATGTTTCCAAAAGTCCATCCAGAACTCCCCTGTAAAGCAGAATTTGGGATTCAGTTATTTACTTGGTTCTTGCAGAATTAAATCTGTGAATTTACTGTCTTACTGCTTTACTAGATCTCTTACACAAGAAAAGATTACATAAATATTCTAAAGGATTCTCTCTTTTCTTTCTTTCCAGGTAGTTAACAAAGTCATTTCAAATCTAAAATTAAAATAGTAAATTCAAAGTGGAAAGAAATAGAGCATATATCTTTTTACACACATAAGAATGCACAGACTGTGATTGACAGTTTATAACAATTACCTGTTTCTCCCAGGATCTCTAAATCCTTTAGCAAAGGGATTCCTGTCTATTTTCAGTTTGGTAATCTACAGATTTAAAAGTTACAATAAGGAAATAATTGTATTGAGTAAATACAGCCAGGTGAAAGTAGGATTAAAAATATGTAACAAGCATACATCACTTCTGCTGATTGTTATATTGAATTATACTGTTTATATTAAAATCTGTTCTTCTGAATCCAGCAGATTGCCCAGTTAACTTCAGAGGAAGGTCAGGACAAAATCTGACCCAAATATGGCAATTGCTTCTATTATAAATATCCCTTCCCTGCTATGTACTTTGGAGCAACACCTATTAAAGAATGATGATGATAATTCCTTATTCCCAGGCAGATTAAATTCCTTTCCCTTTTATATTTCCCAAACTCCCCTTCTATTTATTTTATCTTGCTGCCCTTTGTGCTCTTTTAATTCCATCATTTCCAGAAGTTGTATAAACCTGTCCCCCCTAGTGCTCTGACACTAGAGTGCTCCGATGAGAGCAGGGCCAGATCCTCCAGGTGCTGAAGTAAATCGGACTAAGACTCAGCACCTCTCAGCATCAGGCCTGTTCTAAGCAGAGTGATGAAGTATGGTCAGGATTGCAATCAAGTCCCTGGGGAGTACAAGTCCCCAGGGGTCTCACTGAAGTTGTAGCCCTCGCCCGAGCCGGTGCACGAAGCCCGGGGGACAGCCCAGCACGCGGCCATGCCACGTGCTCAAAATGAATCCAAGCGCCAAGTTCCAAGTGCGCGGTTCCAGCCGCGCGCTGTCTCCCGGGAACCCGGCCGGGCCGCGCGGCGACAAAGCGCGGGCGCGCGCCTGCTGCGCGTTACCTGCTGGTTTTGATAAGCCGTGACAGTGGTGAATTCGGTTTCTTTGAATGAAAACGTTTGAACCCCTTCCGCTGGCAGAGACTGGATCTGGGACAGGTCGAACCTGGAGTCCTGAGCAATGACGTGCACTCTGGGCTTGTACTTGTGCATGGACTGCAGAATAATCTGCCAATGACAAGAAAAGGGGGGGGGGGGAGCACCTGGCACCCTGGG